ATAAGCAAGGTTTTGCACCCTTCTGAGAATCTTGGAAGGAAGGTTAGCAATCAGTTAGCAATCCGAGGGTCAGAGAAGGTTCCGCGTGGGCACCCACGGGAGCGAAACCCCCAGCTTCCTGGGCACCCCTCCCAACAAGGAAGGACAATGTCTTTGGATGCCCTGCTCACCTGGACGCGCCCCAGTCCTTGGCACCCCCTGGGCAGGGTGCTGCTGGCTTCCACGAGCCTATGGGCACTCTGCGTCTGCTGGCCAAGCGTATTTTAGGACAGGTGAAGAAAGCAAATGAGTTCACGCCACCTTCCTCCTCTCCAGAGCGATAATTATTCATGGTTAAATAAAACCCCGCAGGTTGTGAGCAAGAAAAAAAAATCCAAAAAACTGTGAATCCTGCTCCGTTTCCACACAGCATGGATGACGAAGTCAATGCCCCTACACGAAAACCAAAAATGCTTCCCCCTTTCAGATTGGTTCCAAACGTCCCCCTGCGGACACACGTACCGGACCACAGGCCGGTCACCAACCCAGGCACCGCACAGGGCATGTTACATTCACCTTCTCATTATAAATCCCTGGGGCCTCTGTGAGGCAGGAACTACCGTCCCCACTTTACAGACGGGAACACTGAGGCTCAGAGACGTGAAGTCGTGCAGAATCATGAGCTAAGAGAGCAGGACCTGGTGTTCAGCTCAGCTGTCTGGGATCCCAACTGGCTCTCGGTCATTTTTAATACCTTCCACATGATATTCATACCTTGGCTAATGGCTGCACCACCCTGACCTCTGGTTGGTTGTGTGTTCACGCTGCCTCCTTTTCTGTTTCTGTCAGACCTCTCTCTAAGTGTGGCTGTATTTAGAGCCCACCCGGGGAACCCAGGATAATCTCCCCATCTCCAGATCCCTTCATCACATCCGCAAAGACTCTTGTTCCAATAAAGGTCACGTTCGCGGGTCCCAGGGATTGGGAGGTGGGTCTCATCAGGGGGCGTCTTCCAGACTACCACACACATTTCACCCTTCCTTCCTCAACTTATTCCCTCACAGACCCTGCCTGTGTGTGTTGATCATTGTGCCAGGAGCTGGGAGCTAGAAAACCAAGAAATGGCACGGGGAGTCCCCACCCTCAGGGACCTCGGTGTGACCTTTCACACCCACTTCCCAAGTGCTCTTGTGATAAATAACAGGAGAGACTCAAGGACATTCAAAATAGCAGGCACTCACCACCTGGGCACTGACATTTACATACACCGGCCCACCTGACCCTCAGGACAGGGTGGCTTCGCTTGTCTGCACAGAATGCTGCAGGAGCAGAGCGGAGAGACAGTCAAGGTGAAAGAGAATGTAACCAGGGAAGGCTTCCTGCAGGAGGTGCCTGTGCCACTTCCAGGGCACCTTGGGAAGGCAGGCTGGAGGAAGTGGCTTGGGAGGAGGCAGGAATGAGGAGGTGCCCCAGGCAGAGGGAGGCAGGAGGGAGCTGGGATGCTCTGGGGCAGGGGTGAGGAGAGACAGGAGACCGGAGAGGCTGAAGCCTGTTGAGGCTTCTCCCTAGAGAATGGGTTGGAATCCCCACTGCTCCGTCCATATGTATTTCCCAGGTGTGCCTGTGAGGCCGGGCAGCTGTTGGAAATCGCCTGGGGACACAGGGGTCACCTGTGGAAGAGGAAGAGGCTCCTGGTCTTGCTCACTGCTCCCCCAAAGGACTCTCTTGCTTCCCTGGCATGAGTATTCTCTCGTAGCTGCAGGGGCTGCACTTTGAGCTCTCGGACCAAAGACTTGGGAGCCCTGGGGCTCTGGTCCCAGGTCGGCCTCGAACGGCCTGGGTCCTCCCAGTCCGGGCCCTCAGTGCAGGTGCCATGTGTCATGACTGCCCAGTTATCAGCAAGGACAGGGACTGTGGCTACTCCCTCTCCTCTCACCGCCCCGGCATGCCAGAAAGAACGTGACCACACAGAGAGCACGTCTGCGACGTGTCTTGCTGGCCCCAGCGACACAGTGGTGAGCCACGGACCCGGTCCCGAGCCCACGTCTTGCGGGGGAGGCAGGCATCCATCAAGCCATCACCTGACAGAGGTAAACCTGCAGGCAGGGACCTGGCCGAGAAGAGTCAGGGGTCGAGGAGGACTCCCCTGAGGAAGGAACTTTTGAATTGGGGGTGACCCTGTCTTTTGGGAGAAGAATCACTATTCTGATTATGGGCTTTGGGCCCAGTTCACCTGGGACTGATCTGTTCATGCCCAGATCTGTGACTCCCACCTCCGCCTGTGGAACTGGGTGAGGTCATCCAGCTCCCTGGTTCCCCAGTTAGGGGATCTGATGCCAGGGAGAGCTCTGCCAGACATCTCTCTAGCTGCCCACAGAAGGCAGCTCCAGCTCTTGCTCACTCCTTTCTGTGTGAGCCTCTTGGGTGAGAGAAAATGGGCAGGAGCTGACTTGGGGAGAATGACTAAGAAGGTTCCAGAAGGCAGGCAGCAGCCCCAGCTTCCCCTGCTTACCTTCCCGCCAGCAGGCTTGCTGGACCTCCAGCGTCTCCCTCAGCCTCTCCCCGCCGTCCCCCTGGCTCTCCCTGATTCTCTTCCTCTGTTTCCTCTCGTGCTTCACACGGCAGGTGATATGCAGACCCTTTGCATACATTAGGTCTAATCTCTGGCCACCCTCTATGGGAGGTACTGTTACTGTGCCCATTGTATAGATGTGGAAACTGAGACTCGAAGTACCTTGCTGAGGAGCATCCAGCTGGCAGAGAAGCCCACACCCTTCCCAGAACCCAGCCCGCCCCCAACCTCCACCCTTACCCCATGACCACCCCCTTTCCCACTTTCCCACAGCTTAGATTCTCCAATCCTCAAACTCAAAAGTCTGTCTTCCCAGGAGGTGCTCCCGGAGGAATTCAAGTGTCAAGGGGGAAAGGGCAGATAAAGACCACATGCACCCCTGGAATGGGGGCTAGACAGACGGAAGACTGGGGCCCACAGTCAGAGAGGCCACATGGTGGTCCCACTCAGAGTGAGCAGGAAGACCAGAGGCCAGAGAGGAGAGGCCACACAGCCCACGTGCAAAACTTGCCCCCAGCCCACTCCAGACTCCCCGCCTGGGTCTCTACACTGCTCGGTTCCTGGGGCTGGGGCTTCTTTGGGACACACCCTTGGCTGGTAATGAGGACAAGAAGGTGATTAAGACATATCCTGTTCTGGGGGCACCTGGGTGGCTCAGTGGGTTGAGCGTCCGACTCTTGGTGTGGGGCTCAGGTCACGATCTCGTGGTTCACAGATTCGAGCCCCACGTCAGGCTCTGTGCTGACATGGCAGAGCCTGCTTGGGATTCTCTCTCTCCCTCTCTTGCCCTTCCCCTGCTTGAGCTCTCATGCGCTGTCAAAATAAATAAACTTAAAAAAAAAAAAAGACACATCGTGTCCTGGTGGGTTTCCTGGCATGGTGGGGGAGATGGGCACCCCACCACAGAATTATAAAACTAAGTAGGCACCTGGAGGAAAGCACCAGAATTCAGACTAACAGGCAAGATGGAGTGCCATCAGGGAAGGCTTCCTGGATGAGGAAACCTCTTTTTCTTTTTTAATGTTTATTTTCAGAGAGAGAGAGAGAGAGAGCACTAGAGCAGGGGAGGGGCAGAGAGAGAGGGAGAGAAAGAATCTGTCAGCACAGAGCCCTACACTGGGCTCGATCTCAGGAACCTGAGATCTTGACCTGAGCTGAAATCACGAGACAGATGCTCAACCAAGTAACCAAGGTGCCCCAGTGAGGAAACCTCCTAACTGAGCGAGAAAGCGTAAGTGGGAATGCACTCAGCCAAGGCCTGTATTTGGGACAGGTTGGGGGCAAATGGTGCCACACGGGCCTGGCACGCTGAACAACAAGGTAGATGGAGGGCGTAGACCCTCTGAGAGAGGGGTGGAGTGGAAGTCATCAGAGAGCCAGGTGGGAGAACTCCGTACTCTGGCAGGAGAGCTAGGTCAGGACACAGAGGCATGCCGCATCTCAGATTCTGTCCTGGCCTCTGAGCTTGGGCAGGGCTCAGGCACCCAGGGCCTGCCAGAGAGGGGTGAGCGTGCAAACCCAGGGGAAGGGAGGGAACCTCCCTCAGGTGTTTTGTGTCCGCAACAGGCAAACCTAGTTGCTTGCTTCTCCTTCCTCCTGCCGGGCCCCGTCCTCTCTCTCTCTCCCTCCCCTGTCGCTGGATGCCTATTGGGGCTGGAGCTCTGTTCCCTGCTCTTCCTCTCCCGTCCTTCCCCCCAGCAGGCATCTGGCCCCACAAATGCTGCTGGGAAGGACCGTGTGGTCCAAAGCCTGGAAACCGTTCCAGAGGTTAGGAGTAGGGAGTCTAGGTCCATCCAGATCTGGACTGGATATAAATGTTAGCCCTTCCTCTCACAAGCTGTGTGGCCCAGGGGTAAAGTAGTTCAGCCTCTCTGGCTCTCAGCCAGACCAAATGGAGACAATCGGACGAGGAAGAGCACCTGAGCCGCCAGGCACCAGGTCCTGCCAGGGACGCTTGAGGCATAAACAGCCTTGAGGGACTAACCAGACGGCAGGGTGGGGCCGCGAGCACTGGAGCGAGGCAGTGGGGATGACTCCTCGTCTGCCTTCTCCCAGAGGCAGGGGCCTTCGGGCAGCTGGGGTTTCGGGCACCAGGCGCACGCCCCGCTCCGGGTTTTCAGGGAGGGGGGGGAGCAAGAGAGGCTCAGATCTGACAGGGGCGGGGGGCGACCTGCCCCTTGAGGAAGCCTTGGCTCACGCTTTTGTCTGCAGCCTCCGCGCCGCCGCCGCCGCCCTCCTTGCGCCCGGGCCGCGGGCTGCAGGCGCCGCCGCTGTTTGCCAGCTCGGCCCGCCGCCAGACGGAGGAGGCTGCGCGTCAGAGGCGCGCGGAGGCAGCGGGCAGGCCCCGGAGAACACTGGCAGCGATGGCAGCGGCCTGGCAGCACCCAGGGCCGGGCTGCGGCAGCCGGCAGGCGGCCATGAGGCTCGGGCAACCACAGGGGCCGACCGGATGTTGGGCGGCGCGGACTGGGCGGCGCGGCTCTGCGCACTGCGCTCATTATGCCTGCGCGAGGTGTTCGGGTGTGCGGCCGCGACCCCGACGGCTTCCTGCGCGTGGAGCGTCTGGCAGCACTGAGGGCTGCGCTTCGGCCAGACGGAGGAAGTGGGCGCCGCGTCCGGGCCCCCCGCCGACGACCCTGCCCTGCCGGGAGGGCCCCGCCGACGCCAGACCACCACCCCACCGCCCGGGCAAATTTACCTCGGCACCTGCCCTCCCTGCGGTCGGTGCCCCTCCTCCCCGCAGCCAGCAGCGCCCGCGGCATGGCAGCGTGCCAGGTGCTTCTCTGCCCACCTTCCCTCCCCCGCAGTGCGGGTCCCTTTGGCCCGTGTGAAAACCCACTTGGGGGAAGGCGCTGTCAAGAACCCAGCTTCGGGACCCCCTCCCTCCCTGCCCCTGCGGAGACAGAGCCGGCCCGGGTCTGTGGGAACGGAATTCCAGGACGCGGTGGGGGGCGGCGGGGGGTGGGGCGTGCGCCCCGTTGGGCCCAGCCAGTGGGTGGACGGGCCCACTGGGAGCGCGCTGCAGCCGGACTGCACCCACCGGGCCTCGCACCCAGGAGGAGGATGACACCTGGTGACCCCTCTTTCGGGCTCCGATGGACAGGCCTGGCTGGCAGCTGGCTGTGTTAGCTGCGGCAGGCCAGCCAGAGGCAAGCTTGCAGTGTCCCCTGCGATAGGCCCGCGTCTATTTGGGGAAAGCAGGAGTTCTGTTGGTTGTTAGCAGGGCCAGAATCAGTGGGTGGGCGTTGCCAGTGGGGTAGCCAGAGGAATAGCGATAAATGCTCCCTCGACCAGTGTCCTCTCGTGCCATGGGCACGAGGACTTGGTGACTTGGGTCCGGGAGGGAGGGCAGGACACCCACCTGACGGGGAGTGTCCTCATTCTCGAGTTACTGCCCACTCTGACATGGTCAGGGGTTTTCTCCTGGGAACAGAAGCCCTGAGTTTCCAAGGCCACCTAAGGCCTCAGGCTCTGCGTGGGGAGTGTGGGCACCGGGGGCATCAGATGGGCACTGGCTGGCATTCTGTTCCTGGGGCACCTCGTGCCTAGCATTCCAGAACATGGGAGAAGCCAGGACTTGGTTAGGTTGGACCCGTGCCTCTCTGCCACCTGGCAAGGGGGGAGATGATAGATACCCATCTCTCCATGGCACCTGGGCATGGCCAGGACCTGGGAGCAATAGGTGGAAGAGGATGAGGCAGGTTATCAAGTTGGAGGAGTCAGCTACCCCATCCCAGGAAGCTCGCTGCTGTGCTTCTTGTTAGAGTCCACATTTCCTGCAGCCATCAGGATCTTCTTCCCCAAAGGCCAGCCAAGCCCCTCGCCCTCACCAGTGGCTGCCTCCGAGGCCAGCCGAGCAGCCCCTTAGCATGGGGAGAGCCCCAGCACTCCTCCCAGGACACAGGCTACAGGGGGAAGCACCTGCCTGGCTCTGATGGAACCCGGAGTTCCAGAATAGCAAAGCGGTTCTCCCAGCAATCTGTGCAGGAGGCCCCCTGAGCCCCTAGCAAGCGTCACCACCTTATCCCTGAGCTGGACAGCTGCTGTTGTTGGAACCTTCTCCTTCCTGCACTCTTAGAGCCAAACCTGCTTGTCACGTAGTCATCTCGGTTCTGCACAGGGACTCACATGGGTCTCTCTTCTGTGTGGCAGCCTTTAAATATTTGAAAAGAACACTCCTGCCCCCTTAGCTCCTTCCCATCCACTCCTTCCCGTCTTCACTTCTCCAGGTCGAATACCCTCTGTTCCTGAAGCCCCAGCCATTTCCATATGACCTGGTAGGGGCTAAATCTCTGGCTTATGGCCCTGGAGCTGCCATCAACTGATTTGTGTGACTCGGTTTTCCTAGTAATAATGCAGAGGACCTGGGTCAGGAGACCCCCAGGACTGCTCCAACCCCAACACCTGACACACACCCAGGAGGCTGCCTTGTGCATGGTGCACCACGCTTTCCATTCATATTACGTTTCTGGCCATCCAGACCCCCAGGGATCTTTCTTAGAAACCTCTGCCAAACCAGGATTCCCCTCAGTCCTGGAGAAGGGTCAGTGATTTCTTTCTTTTTACAGCATAATCATATTAGAGAAGCAGTTTGTACGCACTGTAGGAAATTAGAAATGTGGGTATTATGTTCCCATCTCCCAGGCAGCTCCACTGTGACACCTTGGTTACATCCTTCCAGAACTGTTTCTATGCTTATATGTAGATTTCCCCCATAAAATGAGATCATGCTGTGCATACTGTTTTTTAACCTCATTTTTTTTCCCGGTAAATGATCAGCACTTTCTGCTTCAGTAAATTTTCATCTCACTTAATATGCAGACCTTGTTCACATTTCTCTGTTTGGCCCCAAAATGTCCAGTTTTGCTGTTTTGTTTAAACCAGTTTCCTCTCTACGACTGTGCAGTGCATCAATGTTGTGACCCTTAGGTCTCTCTACTCTAATGCAATCCCTTTTTTAAAACAAAATGTTAATAATCCTGGCTTGTTGAAGAAAGCAGGCCTCTGGTCTGTGTCAATAATTTCTTGAATCAAAACCTGTTATTTGGCCCTTTTTCCTGTTAACTTTCATCTCGTTCGTTTCATCCCATTGCAATAGACAGCGGAGAGAATTTAAAATCCTACCTCTGTCACTCTCATGCTATGCTACCTGCAGGGGTAGAGAAGCGGTGCTTCTATCTGAATCCACAGGCTGATTGGAAACACAGGGCAGGACCACGGACAGGGCTTGGTAGGGGCGGTTCTACTCCCACTATCCTTGAGGGAGACCCACGGACGTACATTCTGCATAGTCCTCGCTACACATTACGGTGGAGGGAAGTCATTTCTCCACAGTTAGGGATGCCTTCGAAATTCTATGTGCTTGGACAGTTTCTATTTCGTTTGTTCAAAACTCAAGTGGAAACCTTGATTTCCCAACCCACTAGCGCTGTAGGATAGACAGCTGTGGTTCACTAGCTATGGCGTTCAGTGAACTTCTCAGAGCTGGTTACCTGCGTTTTACCAACTCCCTCCAGAATACCAGGGATGCCAGAATCCTTTGAACTGCTCAAAATATACTGGGTCGCAAAGAATAAAATAAAATACCCATGAGACCATACTAATATAAATGATTGAATGAGTGAATAAATAAATACTAGGAAAATATACAGAAGAAATTCAAGTAATTTATGTAGATAATTCCCCACCAAGGAGGCAGAGCCTAACTCCCCACCCCTTGAAAGAAGTGTCAGATGTGCATAGTGGCTGCCTTCTAAAGGCGTAACTTTTCAGCAGAGAAGCCTGACTAGCACTGTCTCAGCCACACGATCAACATCAATAGTGATAAGTCATGTAGACAATGTGTACCCTTGGTGTGACGTGATAAGAGGCTCTTTACCTCTACAGTCTTCCTCCCCAAACCCCAGTCTAGTCGTGAGTAAAATATCAGACAAACCCCAACCGAAGGATATTCTGCAGAACACCTGCTTAGTATTCTTTCAATTTGCCAAGGTCATCAAAACCGAGGGAAGTCTGAGAAACTGTCACAGCCCAGCAGAGCCTAAGCAGACACGACAACTGCATGTAAGGCAGATGGGATCACGGAACAAGAACAGGACATTAGGTAAAAACTAAGGAAGTCTGAATAAAGTATGCACAGGAGTTAGTAATGGTATTATGTGTAAATTAGGTTGGCCTCTGACATCCCCCCTGATTTATTGGCTTAGGAGTCAGAGCAGAAAAGAGAAGACAAGAAAATTTGATAAAAACATAAGTGCCTGTAACAGAAACACAAAGATTGAGCTTTTAAGGACTACAAAGATGGGGGGAAATTCCACTGTCCCAACTCTGAAAGTCCCTAATACGTGGGAGCAGACAGACAAGTACATAGGAGTGTGGTCTGAAACCATATTGACTTCTCATGTCTTGCTTTTTTTCCCCTAACCTTTCTTTTTTTTTTTTTTTTTTTTTTTTTTTTTTATTTATTTTTGGGACAGAGAGAGACAGAGCATGAACGGGGGAGGGGCAGAGAGAGAGGGAGACACAGAATCGGAAACAGGCTCCAGGCTCTGAGCCATCAGCCCAGAGCCTGACGCGGGGCTCGAACTCCCGGACCGCGAGATCGTGACCTGGCGGAAGTCGGACGCTTAACCGACTGCGCCACCCAGGCGCCCCTCCCCTAACCTTTCTGAGCCTCTGTTTATTCATCCATAAAGTGGGGGTGATAGTAGTCCCCATTCCATTGGGTTATCGTGGAGGTTGAACCAGCTTATATATGGGAAGTGCTCAGTCTGGGATCTGCACAGAGTAGGCCCTCTATCAGGATTGCTGCTGCTGTTGTTACTACACTGTCAAGTTTGAGGGGCACCTGGGTGGCGCAGTCGGTTAAGCGTCCGACTTCAGCCAGGTCACGATCTCGCGGTCCGTGAGTTCGAGCCCCGCGTCAGGCTCTGGGCTGATGGCTCGGAGCCTGGAGCCTGTTTCCCATTCTGTGTCTCCCTCTCTCTCTGCCCCTCCCCCGTTCATGCTCTGTCTCTCTCTGTCCCAAAAATAAATAAACGTTGAAAAAAAAAATTAAAAAAAAAAAAAAGGCAGCAAGAGATGGGCCATATTCCCTGTTGTACATCCTCTCCTTTTTTCAGTTTGAAGACCATCCTTCTTGCTAGATAAGACAAGACGAAAGCGGTTGAGTGGCCTCTCTGCCATCTGTTAACACGGCACTATCTCCTCTGCACAGTGGGCCTGTCCTTCCTGCTGGGAATGGGGGGGCCACTCCCACATCCGAAAGGGTGTTGTGAATTATTTGGGGGAGGTAGCTCAGCTGTAGCTAACCAGGACTAGTCTGTAATTTCCCCCGTCTTTGCGTTTGCCCCAGATATGGCCAGAAGAATTGGGGCATGATGCCTCCTTCTTCACATTGGGCAGGAGATGAAATAACAGGTCCCAGCTGGGTTCCCTCAGTCCCCACGTCCCCTCCGCACTCGCGACTGCCATGAGGGAGATGCCGACGCTGCCTGAGCTGGCAAAGGGCTTGGGGTGCTGGGACAGGACAAGATGACTCAGGGGCCGGCCCTGGGGTGGGGTCCACCTCAGATTTGTGGGCTGCCAGGGACAGGGGAACCG